AGGAAGAACTTTGACTACTATATTTTTCTGCTTTCTTTGCCCCAAACTGAGAACAGTAAATTGTGCAGAACTTGTCAAAACAGAACATTTTCTTGGAGGAAACAGAACTTCAGCTTTGTTATGAATTTGATTTTTTTTTTTTTTTTAAACAACAGTGAGAAGATACTTCTCCTTACCAACACAGTACACTTTTCTACATAGTTGTTTATAAAAGTATGTATGGCAACAATGTCGTTAACTACTGGAAGTTTGTAATAGTGAGTGTGGTAAATAGGCGTAGTCAGTAATGTGAGGGAACCTGTTCAATGTTTTGCGTGATTGGCATTTTTCCTGGTTGACCGATCACCTTGTTTTGAAGAAAAGTCCTTTTACAGAAATTTATGTGGGTGGGAATTGAACAGGACACTGAATCTAAGTAAGGAATTGAAAAGCACTTGTGGAATGTGTATTCTTTTGGAAGAGGGAAGTCTTAATTTGTAGATGAAAATACTTTGTGTATGTGTGACCATACTTTGGATGTTTCCTTTTGTTTTTCTAAGTGCAGTCTGGTACTGACTGAATTAGTTAATCCCACCATTGTGAAATAAGGAGGAGTTAGTTGCTGTTTTGTCAATGCAATACATCATAGCTGAGTCCTAAGAACTTTGCCTACTTGCAAGATGTTCATTCCCTCTCAGTGGTGGAAAGTTAAATTTGGAAAACTCTTCCAAGTGTATTTTTGTTCTTTAGCTATAGTAGAGATTGTGACTTAGTAGACAGGAATCAGGTATGAGAAAGCAATTCTTTACATTAATGACATGTAAGTTTGCTATGTTGTGATGAAGGATCAGTGTGCATGTGTTACTAGTGTCCTAGTCATGTTTTTGAAGATATTTGTAGCCATGTTTAATATAAGATCTACTTGAGATTTAGATCAGTTTATTTTCTTTTTTCTTTTTCTAGTATTGTATGAACTTCTACGTAGGTCATAATATTTATAGTGGGAATAATCATTTTCTGAAGAGAAGAACCCAACCCTATAACTTAATGTGAAAATATGATGGACATTTTCAGTTGTGCTTAACATTTCTAGCTTTTGGTCTATCGTTACAAAAGTAACAAGAAAAATAAAACTAATTAAAAAAAAAATTGCTAACAGCGCCTGCTGTCTTGTCATTTAGATTTTCCAAATAAAATTGAAGGCTGCATGAATTGCAGGCTTAAAAATTCATTTTGAAAGTTCAAGAGTGGTAACAGTATATCTCTGGGTGATAGCAGTATGCGTTTTGAAGTTTAACATTTGAACTTGAGCTGTAAATTCATGTTGACTCTGGAATGTATATTTAAAGTAAGCTTTCCCACAGAAGACCTTAAAAACATGTCCTTTGGCCTGTTGGCAGGAGCATAACTTCATGTATATTCCAGTAATATTATAAATGTAAATATTATTTTGAAGCAGATACTGCCAATATAAAAAATATTTTTGTTGATGTTAGAGCTGGTATAACTTAAATATAATGAATTTAATTGTCTTGGATAACTTTATCCTGCAGTTATGTTTAATATCTCTTCTTGAACCAAAAATAATCAGACCAGATCTTTCTGGACAATGCTATCGACTTTTAAATATAGAAAGTATAGTAGTTGTGTGTCCTATGAAGTACTGTTTCGCAGTGACTTAGATGTATCTCTAACGGAAGCCAGATATTTTTGTAAAGCATGACTATACCTATCCCACTACATTTCTTCCTTTTTAATCTGTGAGGAAATGAAAAGTCAATGAGTCTTTTTAATGTAAGCTTCAATCGCCAGTGAATTGCATTAAACTGCACTGTTGCATGTGCCTCAGGAAAGAAATTATGATGGATGTAGTACACAAACTGGTAGATACTTCGGGGTGCATTTCAATTTGAATCTTTTACAAGTGGAGTGTCTCAAAGACATATGGTATGCAGTATGAAAATATAAAATAAGTGTGCCTAGTTACTCAAGTATGCTGTTTAACAAAGTTAATGTCAGTGTCTATTTTAACTTTATAATTCTATTAATTCTTTTAAGTTTTAATGTGGTATTTCGTTTTCTTTTATGATTATTTAGGTGTAAAATCAGCCCCAGAATCCTTATGTACAATGAGCTTTTTAATTCTATCACAGTAGCAGCATGTTTCTGCAGAGAACTGAAATAAAAATCTGATAAATTTGGGTAGTTACTTGGGTACGAAGTGTGTGACTAAACGAAGGTTTTCTTTTAGGGCCATTGACTGATTAGAAAGAACTGTTATGCTCTGCAGGTTTCACTTTGCATTTTCTGTTAAATGTATAAAAAAATTTCAACTATTTGTTGTTTCTGTTGTAAACTCTAAAATTTATTTCTGTATATGAGACCAGCTACTGAATATTTCTGTAGTGAAATTCTGTTTAATGAATTAATGAATGGGGTTTGAATGTACAAGGTCTTATTCACAGTCCAAAAGTATAAACGTAGCCCAGTCAACAACTACATACAGTTAAAGATGATGGGGAGAAAAGTCATTGTCAAAATTTTTTTCTGTGGGAAAATAATGGATGATCTTACGGGAAATTTTACCGTTGTACATGGATGTGCTTTCTTCAAACCATTGTAGACAATGTCAATTTATTCTATTCAATAATGTCGATTTGCAAATATTATGATACTTAATTGTGAAAGAGCTTTTTCTGGGGAGGGATTTGGCTCCTCTGCCTTGACATTTACATGCACATGTGTATTTATAGTTGTGATCTGTCTGGAATTTGCCTTTGTGGTTTTGTTTGCTCTTTAACTTGTTCTGTGATCTAGTCCTGTCTTTTTCAGCTTTGTTTCTGAGGTTTAATAGGTGAGCATTGCAGAAGAAACGGCTTAATTTAAAGGAAATAATGAGCATTTTTATTCAACTTCAGATATTTCAGGGAATAATAACACTGTTCTGCTTAGAAGCTTTTCCTTAAAATAACGTTATATTAGTGCTAATTTATGATTAATCTAAAATTTGAGTTCAGCGTAACTAGTACTGTGAATGTTTCCTTAATTTATTTCAGTTGTTCTTATAAAGGCTTCTTTAAAGAAAGCAACTAATTCAAAGTTAACATTATCAGTGCAACTATTCTAAGACCTGGAAGTGGTATGATCTTGCTCCCACTGTTCTGCTAAACTTATGATGTGTAGCACTTGTCCGTGAGTTAAATTATGGTTGTTCAGAGAGAATAATGGGAAAGATATGTGGAAGCAACAATTAATTCACTGAAATGCTAACTCAGGTGGAATGCTGAATATGAGTAGTCAAACTCAGTCTCAGAAGTGAAGGTGAGCTGTTGAAGGAACAATTTTCAGCTTCCTAGTGTATATTTCATAAACATTTTTAGATTAAAAAATGAAGTCTTGTGTTACAAAAGTGAATGTCACTTTCTTGTTTTTGATCAAAGAACATAGAAAATCCTCTGTAGATAAGAGTGGGCTTGTATTAGGCAAGTTCTGTATGGTTTCAAAATTTTATTCAGTCTTCCTGAGAATTAATAAAATTCTTCTAATAAATTGTCTATTCGGCTTTTTAGTAATTTGTTACAGTTGAAGACACACCAATTTTTTTCCCCAGTCAACTTTAAAAAACTTGAACTGAAATTCCAATTTTATGTATTTGTTTTTGAATTTGGACTGTAACAAATAACACTGATGTAAGGAAGCGCTGAACAAATACAGGCTGCTAACTTTCTCAGTGCATATTAAGAGTACCCTAAAGTAGCTTGTAAGAACAGGAAGACAGGTCTGAGACTGCCTAGTTTGGCAGAAAATTGGTTTACAGAACTGACCATAAGCAAAAGCTTCATAGATACCACTTGATAACTACAGTGATAAAAGCTTTTTTCCTCTGTATCCGTGAAATGGAATGCAGCTGTTGTATTTGAAGACTGTGTAAACAAAGAACTGATGATATAGATGGTTAATTGGTTCGTAATGTGATATATCAGTCAGAGAAATGTTGATGTGGTAGAATGAGGAAGAAAGGTAGCTAATTGATGGTGGTTTTTTTTAATCTATTATGTTTTTGAGGTGGTGTCACAGCCAAGTGCATTACTGGATATGTATGTCTGCGAAGTTGCTTAGCACTCATTCAGGAGGACTCTTAATTGAAGTCTTAGATTATGGCCTTACTAATTTTATAGATGCATAGTTTAGTGGCTTGCTTCTGGGAGGCTTGAGTAAGTTGCAGGATGCACTACTGCTGGCTTGTCACAGCTGAGGCCAGCCTTGGCTACATGGCATCTATTGGGTTGTGTCCTGTTAATGCTCCCTAAACAAATCAAATCACAGCAACCACCCCTCCTTTAAGTAAAAGGTAAAAGTCCAAATAGAGGATGAGCACGCATCCCAGTATGCCACAATTAGAACTGTGCGTGAGCAGATGGGCGTACAGTGCCGGTGCCTCATGGAACTTGGACACCAGGTGTCAATCTCTGCAGTAAGAGGTGACTGAAATGCAAGGACTCTGGGAAATGGGCTTACTGACAAAATGCCCCATGATGTTTCTAAGTTTTACTACGAAAGAGGAAGACCTCAAGGTAGAAATACAGAAACTTGTAAAGAAAAAACAATCCCATAAATGAGTTCATCTGTTGCACACTAGGTGATGACCTTATCTGTTTTTGTAGGGGATGCTTATTCAGCCAGTTAAACAAAAAATAAAAATCTTATTCAAACATATTGGAAGCGGAATCTTTTCACAGCCTAGAAGAGTTTTTTAAATACTTCCACTTCTAGGTGAATATGGTAACAGGGAAGATAGGACTATAGCAGTAAAACTAAATATGTAGTTCTTTTTTTAAAAAAGAACTGTTTATCTGTGCTTATTTTAAGGGACTGCAATGCCAGAAGTCCTTGTTGTGGAGAGTACATGAAGACTTTTCCTTTCTTCTCTTTTGTTAATAACTCTGAAGAGGAATGTGGGATAAAATAACAAAATGAACAATAAAGAATTGCAAAGATCACATATTCAGAGTTCTGAAAATCTAGCAGCTATGATTTATTATCTGTCCTTGAAACCGCTCTAATACTAGAAGATTGGAAGATGTAAAAACTTACCACACTTACTAGATGGATTTCACTGTCTGATGAAAGTGCTGGTATGATTGGATGTACCCAAATGATTATTAGATGTTCATCTTGTGCACGCTAGTCTTTTTCTTTTATTATTATTATTATTATTATTAAAAGTTTTCACTAATTCTGAGAGTCATATCTCTCAATCTATTACAAATTGTTTAAAGAACTCGATAAGCATGTGAGAGGAACTGCAGCCTACTTGTATTTCCAAAAGATCTCTGATTATATGAAAAAAGGAAGGTCTCAGCATGGAGAAAAAGAAGGAACATGCTTTCTGGAAGGAGGTGCTCCAGTTATCCCATCAGCTCCTGGAAGATAGGAGATTCCAGACTGTAAATTCATTCTGACATGAAGATCTAGATCTAAGGAAGACACATTTTACGCTGAGGGTGGTGAAGCACTGGCACAGGTTGCCCAGAGAGGTGGTGGATGCCCCATCCCTGGAAACATTCAAGGTCAGGTTGGACGGGGCTCTGAGCAACCTGATCTAGTTGAAGATGTCCCTGCCCACGGCAGGGGGGTTGGACCAGATGACCTTTAGAGGTCCCTTCCAACCCAAACTATTCTGTGATTCTATGATTCTATGATCTCATGCAGGGCAGGAAGTAGAAGTAATGTAGTCATTGCTGTACATCTCGCTCAATCTTAAGTAATTTCATTTTTAGGGAATAACTTAACTAATTAGGGTATAACTTGGTGCTTTTGCCAGAATAGCATGTTCCCCTCTGTAGGGAGATAAAGGATGCCTGAGCACTTACTCACTGTGATTGTCAGCAAAAAGTCTCAGTGTAACTTTTGTTGTTAACAGAATTTGTTCTGTAAGTTTTGACATTTGGGGGGAATAAGCTTTCGACTTAAGAAGAAATCGTGACTATTGGGTCTTTTAATGAAACCTGGGAAATTAATTAGTATGTTTTACAAAATGGGGTGGGGGAGGAGGGGAGCACCAAGCCTTGCTAATTGCAGCTCCTCGAGTATTCTTTTGATTTTTAAAAGGAGAGTTAAGTGTTTAATACAATACTCTCAAAGGGGAAAATTTCTTATACCTTGTTTTTTAAACTAGTGTATGCACCCTCTGCCACTTCGATCGACCAGAGGTTTTGAAAAACATAATGAAAAATACAGTCCTGAAACTAGTCTGACCTGTTGCTGTTCTGACAATTCTAATTTATGACAGCACAGTGACACAAATATCATGGGGTCCTTCTCGGATACTCACTGGTGGGAATACTTCAAGTGATGTAAGTTATGACCCTACCAGAGGTTGCTCAAACCCCATACCATGGGAGCACAGCAGAGCATAACAGCTCCTTGTACTGCTAGTTTCGCAAGAGAATTTAAGGCTGCTCTAAATCTTATTCTGTCATAGTGATGAAGTTTGTTTGCTGTTGTAGTTCAGAGTATCGTAACTGCTGGGTTTGGATGGTGACTTGTCATATTTGCAACCATTTCTTGAGCGTAGTAAGGTTAAAACTGCCCACTAAAACGTGTACGTAAAGTAGCTTCTTAGGGAGTGGTATTATATCTTAAATGAAATCAATTGAAGTCCTGTTTTAATTCAAGCTATTGTACCTACCACTTTCAGGAAATAGTGAATATGGGATATGGGTCTACAAGAATGTATCTGAAATACTAATTGTAAATTAACAAAAGTAGCACTTTTTAAAGAAAGATAAAAAGGGTGATTAGTAAAAGACTAGCTTTATTCCATGTGAAGCTCAGCAACAACTTCCTCCTTCAGCTGTAAAGATAATTGATTCTGTAACCTCGTGGCTCCCAGTGTTCCAAAAATGCAAGTAAGTCCTGAGAGATTTGGTGACAAGGGGAGCTGATTCCTTCTTTTAGTACCCCTTGGCCTCTGTTACATTTGAAATAATAACTACAGAAACATAAAAGTTCTTGCTTTCTCAAATATTGTGATGAAATCTGATCTTTATTCTGTCTTCATCTTTCCCACCCGTATTCCAAGGGGAATGTAAAAAAAATAATAATTAAGCAAATCCTGGATACATTGAGGGAATCTAGTCAATTCTGTTGCAGAAATTAGAAAAGAATAGATATGATGTGAGGACTAGGGGGACGACACATGTTTTAAAAAAAAAAAAAAGGGGGGGGGAAGTCCCAAATCTTTTTCTAGTACTCTCTGTTTAAGGTGAAATTTTCTGTCTCTTTCTGTTCAGCCCACTTTTAAGTTAGAGCAGGTTCTGGAAAACAACTTCAAATATAATGCTCCCTGAGTCAGAAGGTTAGTGTTTTCCACTTGAGTTTGGTCCTTTGGCTGCTATATGCTGCCTTTCTTAAACTTTTTTTTATCGTTAGAAGGAAGGCAATTGAGCCTAATTGTCTTCATACAAGTAACTTCATAATTGAGCCTAGAAATATCTTCATACAGGTAACTTCTAGATATGACCAAAACTGGTGTATTTTAATACTTTGTTCCAGGGAGGAGTTATTTTTCAAGCTATGCTAGTCAGTCTTGAAGTTTATTGCCACACTAACAAGTAGGGATAATTTCTTGACCTATAGCTCTTAACTAAGATCCAAAAGAAATCTTGCAGGCTGAAACGTCATACCATTCCCTTTGCAGAGCATGAGAAATACTTCAGTAGTAAAATTTGCACTATGTATTGTAAAACACATGTGTTAGGAACCAGGTATTTTTCTGTTATTAACATCTCATCAGATGAAAGCTATTTGCTTGATATATTACCATATTTGTATAATAGTCTTGATATTGCCTCTTATGTAGAAGGAGGCCGGGGCGGGGGACATAACAGTTTTGGTCTGCTTTGAGTGGCTTCAGTTGTGGTAAACTGAGTGGTATTTTTTGCTCAGATTCGATTTCTTGCTGCTTAATAGTACCTGGCTGCAGTCAACTGTGCTTGAGGGTGGCTTAATTTTTTTTTTTTAAAGAAATGAAGTTATGCTTTCTGAAGCTTTGTAGTTAACTTGGGTGTAAAATACTTCATAGTCTTTGCTGGAAAGGATACAAATCCATGTTGATATATTTGGAAAACAGTTATATGTACGGCTGTCTCTATAGAAACTGTGAAGTAAAATGCTGTAGTTACTTTATATGGGCTACTGCATTTCTGTTAGGACAGTTATGTCTTTAGAGCTGCCTGGATTCAGCCCTGGTGGTGAAAGGCTTCACACTATTAAACCTTTAAACTTTCTAGTTGCTTGAGAAGGGAGGAGATAGAAGTTCATAACTTTCTGTGTGTGTGTGTGTGCGCGCACGTGCCGTGCGTGTGTGTGAGAGAGAGTGAAAGCTGTGCAGACCGTTCAGCTGGGGCAGTCGGGGAAGTGACGTCCTGTGTTATTTGTCGTTCTAGAAAGAGCGGAGACACGTACTGTAGATGGGAGGACTCTAAAGTGGGCTGTGTCTTGTCCAGTGTGTATAATTATTTATAAATGAGCAACAGGGGAAGGAATGAACTACGGAGAAGCTGTCTAGTGTTTCTTTAATGTGTCGGACAATTTGTTGATTTGTAACAGTTCTGTTTGTTTCAATTCCAAATTTGATTTTTATTTTTCCTTCTCTAGCATCTCTACGTTGCTAAGACACTGGACACTGCTTTCTTTATAGCACGGAAAATCTGAATTCCTCCGACGCTCAGGATGGGGAAAGATTATTATTCTATCCTGGGAATTGAAAAAGGGGCTTCTGACGAGGATATCAAAAAGGCTTACAGAAAACAAGCGCTTAAATGGCATCCAGATAAGAACAAATCTCCCCACGCAGAGGAAAAGTTCAAAGAGATTGCAGAAGCTTACGAAGTGCTGAGTGATCCCAAAAAGAGAGACATTTATGATCAGTTTGGGGAGGAAGGTATGTATGTCTCTGTTATACTCTAATCGGTCACTTTCATTATGTTGAATGAAGCAAAATAAACATAGATGATGCATGAAAACTGATGTGTTGATTTTTAGGCAATGTATTTGTACTGCTTGGAAGTTTGACTCATCAGCTTTTTTAATGTAAAATGTATTGCAGAGTTTTAATGCTGATTTAGTTTTAATTTCTTATTTTAATGTGTTTCTATGGTTTTTTAAAAATCCCAAATACTTGACAGGCAAAAAGTTACTGAATTGAAAAAGTTTGTATGACCCACAAATATCTTTCTGGGATCTCTTACTGCTGTCTTCCCTTGCCTTAGCCCTTTTTGAGGTGCAGTTGAAAAGATACGTATTCTTTTCTTAAATTTTGCTAAAGGGCAGTCTGCTTGATCCAGGCAGGGCACTCCTTCTGAGCAGAAGCCCAGGTGTCCAGTCCATAGTTGTCCTTGGCTTCTTGCCTGGAGAGGAAAGAATTTGGCTGATGTCATGAAATACCAGAACAATTTTTTAGCTTTAATTGTAAACAGTGATAACATGCCAAGAGAATGAGGCCTCGGAAATGTCATATTTATCCTAAAATGGTTATCTGAAGAGGATGACTTTTTTTTATTTTTGACCAACACGACTTTCAGTCTTAATGATTGAGCAACAGAGGAAGTCATTAACATCCCTCCCCTTAAATGGACAGTATCAGAAATTCCATGTGAAATAATTACTTCTGTTGTGACAAGTAGGTCCACTCCCTCATTGCCATTCACTCAGGGACATGTTTTTTACTAATATAAAGGAGGACACTTAAATAGCAGTACTTTGGGGAAAATTGTGTGTTCTTATGAATGCATAATAAAATTTGGTCCTCTGTCATCCGTAGGACTTAAATCAATTGTTAACATCCATAAATTCATGTAGAAGACTTTCAGCTTCTACAGAGGATGCATTTTTTTTGGTCTTTTGTTCCATTGCATGTGATCAAAGCTTTAGTGCTGTTATTGAAACATTCCAGGAAAAAAAGTGTTCATGTAGATACCAGAGGCCTTTGTTGCCTCTTGGGTCTTTTGCCTTCTTGCACTTCTTCCTTCTCACCCCCTGCCTCCTTTCTGTGTGTCATTATAAACCTGTTTACTCTGTGGATTCATCTGCATTTTAGATTCCTGTGCAGCAGCTCATCCTAACTACTTTCCCAAAATACCGTGTTAGTCACTTCTACCAAAGAACTTGAAGTAAAGCATATAAAGCAATGCAGCTTTTGGCATCTGAGTATTGCATGCTTGAAGACTCAAGGTTCAAAACATAGATTTCTATTTCTATTTATATTCTATTTATTTGGGGCATAATGTTAAACCAAAGTATGAATTTTTAGAATGGTGAATCTGGAAATACCTCCTGATGCCTCAGTTGCTCTCTGAGCTCTTCAATTGCATCTGAGAGTGTAACTAGTTGTTGTGAGGGAAGGGCAGGGGGTGGGGTGGGAGGAAGGAGGAAACTTCAGTGTTTTTACAGCCAGGAACTTGATGTACCTTCAGTAACTTTTGGCTAGCTGTTCCAGGAGGGTGTCCTCCTAGTATCACAAATTGATTCCACTGATCTGCTTGTTTGACATTAACAGTACTGTGACAGAAGGATGTACTACTACATGTTGCTAAGTACTTTTAATATGGTCTGGTATTGAGCTGGAGAAAGCATTCTCATTCTAATGTCTTACTTGGTTACTGTTGATAACCAGCATTAAGCTTATGCATAGAAGGTCTAAAACACTGAGCCAAAAAAAACCCCAACCCAAACCCCCTCTTTCAAATTTAGGGAATGCATGCGTCATTATTGTAAGCCTTCATGTTTCTATGGCTATGGAAGTAGGATAGCAGCTGTAGCGCTGAGCTGCTGTAAGATTGAAAAAGATAAAACAAAATAACCAAACATTGTAAGTTTAGAAATAAAAGCCTCTTAAGACGACTTTCAGTCTTTCATCTTAAAGGTTTGAGAAGATATCCTGAAATGGTCAGTGCAGGAGAGCACTAACTATTACGAGGAAATACTTAGAGATCACCTGTTGGGAAAGAGGCATTTAAGAAAATTGATTTTAGCTGGATTTGGAATGAAAGAGCAGGAAGTACAAGGGACTGTCCAGTGGGAATTGTAAGGGAAATCTTACCAGGAAGAAATGAGATGTAGATCTCTCCTTGTGGAAGATAGAAGAGAAAAAACAAAGCTATTTGAGAACTTTCTAATTTTTTGCATAGCAATGGTGACAGTATATACAAGATTTTTGTACCCAAATGGGTCTCAGGAACTTCCAAGCTATTTTTATTTGTGGCTGCATTGAAAAGAGTTCCCAGGTTTCTTACCTATTTTATATCATAGGAACATAAGCTGTGATAAGTTTGGGATTCTAAACTGAACGTTAAGGAAGCATACGGCTGCTTGACTATTGGCATGTTACCTTTTACTCAAACTGAACTGCAGGAAAACAGACGTAAAGCTAATTAACACTGAGTTAAACCTGAGCTATGCAGACTACGGAAAATGTTGCATATGATACTGCATGATTTTCCCCAGAAGTGATCTTGAAGAGGGTTGCAACTCCCAACAGACTTTGGCAGAACAAGAAAAGATCAAGTCAAGCGGACCTGTCTTCTGTTTTAAGATGCTAATTCTTTGAATAACTGGCTTCAATCATATGAAATAAAATTGGCAGTGTTAGAGTATTTGTTCTTCTGAAGTAAAGTCATTCTACAGCTTCAGAAACTTTGTTGCTGTTCAAGCTATTGAATTACTAGTTGGTACTGCATAGTCTGATGGTGAGTCCTGATTGAAAAGGAGACCTTTCACTCTACTGCAAAGACCTTTTTGACTCATCAGTTCTGATATCATTACACTCTACAAAAGGAAGGCTTATACTAATATTTGATTTGTTTTTGACTTTGCTTATTTGTCTTATTTAGGTCTGAAAGGAGGAGCTGGAGGACCTGATGGACAAGGTGGTACCTTCCGGTACTCCTTCCATGGTGACCCACATGCTACATTTGCAGCTTTCTTTGGTGGCACAAATCCTTTTGAGATCTTCTTTGGAAGGAGGATGCCTGGTGGCAGAGACACTGAAGACATGGAGGTGGATGGTGATCCATTTGGATCCTTCACTAGTTTTAGTATGAATGGTTTTCCAAGGGAAAGGAATACAGTTGGTAGCCAATTACGTCGCAAACAAGATCCCCCTGTAATCCATGAACTTAAAGTGTCATTGGAAGAGATCTATCATGGCTGCACAAAAAGGATGAGGATTTCACGTAAAAGGCTTAACCCAGATGGTAGAAGTGTCCGAACAGAGGACAAAATTCTTACTATTGAGATAAAAAGAGGATGGAAAGAAGGCACCAAAATCACTTTTCCTAAAGAAGGTGATGAAACACCCAACACAATTCCAGCTGATATTGTTTTTATCATTAAAGATAAACCTCACTCTCACTTCAAGAGAGATGGATCAAATGTTATCTATCCTGTTAAGATCAGCTTAAGAGAGGTAAGTTTCTCTTTTGGTAGAATTCTAAATGTTTAAACCTGTTACAATATGATAAAATGGCTACGCTGTACAAGCTGTATGGCAGCAGTAAAGTTTTGGGTTGTTTTGGTTTTTTTTTATTAAATAGAGTTTCACTCTTGTAAAGTTAACATGTGGCTGCAGAGCACAGTTATTTATAGTGGAAGCAATAGCTGTTTTGATAAAAATGGAGTATTATTTCAAGCCGTTTACTATAGAGGTGAAAGAGAATGAGGGTGGAAGGGTAAAAGTAAAGGTTGATATGTCTTAAATCTTCATGCTTTTACCTTTCTGGCTAAATATATATTAGGCTGAAGAAACAAACACAAATACAATTAACAAATACATCCAATATAGTATGCTCCTTACTGCTGTGATATGATTGCTACTTCTGTAGAACAAAGTAGAAATGTCTTAAATATTTTCACTGCCAACAAGTTCTAAGTCTGCCTTTTTATGTCATAAGTTATTTCAGTGTGATTTCAAAGTACATAGAGATTGATTTCATGAGGCTAAATTATTGTGAACAGGTGTTATAGGAGCTATATATAACAACAAAAATGGTATAGCTTTTTAAAATTCCGTTCCAAGTCAAAACACATAGGCTTTTAAAAGAAAAAATCAGACATGAGCAGAGTTCTTAAGGGTCTGAAGCCACAACATGGTCATCATTTAAAAGATAACGTAGCTGAGTGTGTGTGATGTTTTTTTCTTCTTAATTAGCATTAGGTGGAGAAATAAGCTCTTGCTTGCATTATAAGCTCTTTGTGTATGTTATGAGCTCCCTTCTTAAAGGATTCTTAACTAAAAATACATCTGAAGTGAGGTGAGGCACCTAAAACAGGATGAGGGGGGGAGAAAAGACAATATTTAATGTTGATGTGGGTAATATAGTTCCTTCATAGATAAAAGTCTATTTAGACTCATTGCATTGTTATGTAAATTGCACATTATCAGTATAGACTTAAGTGTGCTGAATCAGGTGAAGTTCATCACCTTTAAAAATAACCTTTTAATCAGCTTTAAATCACCTAAGTTAATTCATTTGAATGAATCAAAATGTTATTGTCAGACATCCTAGTAATGAAAACAAACCATTGGATAAAGCAGGAGAAGGTCTGTGATGTTTTAATTTTGGTGCACCAAATAATTGTGTGATTTTCTTTGAGCATCACAAATGCTCACCTAAGACAGCTGTGAAATTTGATATACCTCTGCTTATAGACGCTTAAATGTTGTTCTGCAATTTGATATAATATAGGTTGATAGTGTATTAAAGTAAACCCCTGTGCAATGTAAATAAACAAAAAATGGAACAGGACTCTAAATTTCCAATGGAAACTGAGAAGCTGGACATCTCTAGAGAAGTATGAGTGAAGAGTTCACTCTGTGCTCAACTTCAACCTTATTATTTGATAAAAGTCTTTGAAGGATATGTAAGCTCAATTACCCTCCAGTGGCCATTGCGTACGATTGGTAAATTCCATGATATTCAATGACAAATCGAAGCCTTCCCTTTTTGAGAGGAACACTGTATTTGAATTTTCACATCTCAGTAGTGCACAGTGGAAATACTGCTTAGAATGCTAGTCTTTTCTAAATAATCCAAAGTCAGTTGTAGGTACAAATAAAGTTCTGACCTATTTCTTTTTCTCATGATACAATCTTTCTTTAGGCTTTGTGTGGCAGCTCTATCAATGTGCCAACAATAGAAGGAAGAACCATACCCATGACAGTAAATGAAGTTGTAAAGCCTGGGATGAGAAGAAGAATTATAGGATATGGTTTGCCGTTTCCCAAAAATCCTGACCAACGTGGAGACTTAATTATAGAGTTTGAAGTAATTTTCCCAGATAACATTTCTCCAGCATCAAAAGAAGTACTTAGGCGAAATCTTCCAGTTTCATAAAACGAAGACTCTGTATGTCAGCTGTTTAAATAGGACACTGGAAATGCAGAAGACTGGCAAGTCTGTGCTTTAAAAGTGCAATCTGTAACAACTAGTGGAATATTTGTTTTTTTGTTTTGTGGGACGGGTGGGGGGGGAAATACTGTAATGCTGCATGAGAAGAAAAGGGTTAAGTACAAGTCATACAGGTGACTTCTGCAGTAAAATTTACAGGGAAAACCACTCATTTTATTTTACATCTTCCTAATCGGAAAAATTTATTCATTATTTTGCCTAATGTAAAATGTAGTTGGTTTTTACAAAGTCAGTGCATATTTCTGATACAGTACTTCAGCCTCCAAGTACTTTATTTCTTATATCCCTACCCTACCTATAACATTACCCATTTATACAGAAATTGGAGATAGTAGTAGAAATACACAAATGTATAAATATTTTAAAGAGCAAAACATGAAAGGTATCATTTTGGTATGTTGCCTTCCACTGCACAAAGCATAGGCTGGGAAAATAGCTTGGACTCCTGAACCGCCCCCCAGTGGAATGAAAGCATTTTCTTTATTGCCTCAGAATGTGTGAGGACTGCATTACGAGTCTAGCAATGGCCATGTGGCTTGAGGAGCAAGAGTAGCCATTTGCTATGGGATAGTTCCTCAGCCTTCAGGCAGAACAGCAAGAGGGGATTCTACAAGTACGTAAACAGCAAATGGTGGGTCTGCTGTCAAATGGGGCAGGGAAGCTGGTGACAAATGACATGGAGAAGGCTGAGGTACTCAGTGCCTTCTTTGCATCAGTCTCTACCAGTAAGAGAAGCCTTCAGGAATTCCAGGCCCCTGAGACCAGAGGGGAAGTCTGGAACCTCAGTGGTGGAGGACCAGATTAGGGTGCGCTTAAACTGGAAGTCCGTGAGTCTGACAGGTTGCACCCCTAAGTGTTGAGGGAGCTGGCTAATGCCATTGCAAGGCCACTCTTAATTATCTTCGAATGGTCATGGAGACTGGGAGATGTTCTGGTAGACTGGAAAAGAGCAAATACCACTCCTGTCTTCAAGAAAAACAAGAAGGAAGATTTGGGGAGCTACAGGCCAGTCAGCTTCACCTCAATCCTTGGGAAGGTGATGGAGAAAATCCTTCTGGAAAGCATTTCCAAACACATGAATGACAAGAAGGTGATCAGGAGTAGTCAGCATAGATTTACAAAGGGGAAATCATGCTTGACCAAGCTCATTGCCTTCTACAGTCAGGTGACTAGCTTTGTGGATGACAGGAGAACAGTCCATGTTGTTTACCTTGACTTTAGTAGACAGACCGATAAAGTACAGGTTAGATAAGTGGAAAGTGAGGTGGATTAAAAACTGGCCAAATGAGTGGGCTCAGGGGGGTGTAATCAGTGGCACAAAGTCCATCTGGAGGCAAGTCAGTAGTGGTGTACCCTGTGTCTCAATACTGGGGCCAATACTATACAACATCTTCATTAATGACCTGGATTATGGGATGGAGTGCATCCTCAGCAAGTTTGCAGATCGTATAAAACTGGGAGGAGTGTCTAGTAACACCACATGATGTATCGCCTTTCAAAGGGACCTCAGTGGGCTGGAGAACTAGACAGAGGATTCTCACAAAGTTCAACAAGGGGGAATGCAAAGTCTTGCTCCCTGAGGAAAAACCCGAGGCACTAGTACACCCTGGGAGCTGACTGGCTGGAAAGCAGCTTTGCTGAGAAAGACCTTGGGGTCCTGGTGGACAACAAACTGACCGTGAGCCAGCAATGCACCCTTGTGGCAACAAAAGCCAAAGCTTTGCTAGCAGGTTGAGGGAGATGATCCTTCCTCTTTACTCTCAGCACTGATGAGGATGCATCTGGGGTACTGTGTCCAGTTCTGGGCTCCCCAGTACAAGAAAGGTACAAACTTCGTGGAGTGGGTCTAGCACAGGGCGATGTATGAGAGGCTGAGAGAGCTGGAGCTCTTCAACCTGGGGAAGAAAAGGCCTGGGGGGATCTTATCACTGCATATAAATACCTGATGGGAGGGAGTGAAGATGAGGGAGCCAGGCTCATCTTGCTAGCTCTCAGTGACAGGACTAAGAGGCAGTGGACACAAGTTAAAACACAGGGGATTCCATCTGAACACAAGGAAACACCTTTTTACTGTGAGGGTGGTCAAACTCTGGAACAGGTTGCCCAGAGAGGTTGAGTATCTCCATCCCTGGAGATACTCAAAACTCTCCTGGACATGGTCCTGGGCAGCCTGGTCTAGCTGACCATGCTTGAGCAGGGGTGTTGGACTACATGATCCCAAGAGGTTCCTTCCAACCTAAATGATTCTGTGAACTTGGACTTAGTGCTTTTCACTAGACAGTGCTATGGGCCATGTTCTGCAAATGAGGCTTAGCCCAAAGATGGGTGGTACTGATGTGACAGTTTGAATCCCTAGGGAGTAGGTCTATGCTTGAGTGGAAAGATGCACAAAGAACACTGTAAAAGCATTTGGCTAGTGCTGATCTCAAGTATTCATTATTTTCAAAGGCTGAACTTTACTCCCATGAAGAAGAAGGAAAAGCCCAGGTCCTAGCTAAAGGAGAGTTTGCTTAAGACACAAGGTGGGATAGGGGTTGCCCATAAACTTCCATATTTTTGAATTGAGTCTTTTTTGAATACAAATGAGAGTTACTTGTCTTTAGAGTTAAAAGGTGCATAGGGAAATGGAGAGCCCTCTGTAATAGTCTAGTTTTATAATACAGTAATAGGGCTGGTTCCCTTGATTGTGGCATGATTTTGGTGAAAGAAATGCCTTGCAGGCGTGCTTTATTACTTGAGTTTAAAACCATAATACAGTGCTTTAACAACACTTTCAAAGGGTTTTTTTTGGGGGGTTGTTTTTTTTTCATAAGAAAATATGTAAGATTTGCTGTCAGCCTTTTGCCTGTGGAAATTTAGTAGTTACCTGCTCTGTTAGGTAGCTTAAGAAACAGCAGTATTATCTTCATATATGTGATTTTCTGCAGGAAAGTAAATCATATGGAAGTTGGGATTTAATTTACAATAACTTTTTAATGAGCACAAGAAGAATCCCATTTCTGTTACTCAAAGAAATAGAACTTCTGGGAGACACTGTTCGAGTCAGTTTTTCAACTGCAGATCTCTTCATACAGTGTCAGTTAGTTGTAGTCCTAAATCTACAAGGAACTAAAAAATTGCTGGAGCAGTATAACAAAGGGAAAAAATTTGCTGCTTAGTGCTTATGCATATTGTTAACACTATATATTGTTTGTTCAAAAACCTCCCATTTCAGTATGTTCCGTATTGCATTTCTTATGTGGTTTTTAAGTAAAAAAGTGTAAAGTTCGTTTTTAACTTTCTCTTATCTTTTGTTATGATGGCAGATGCTGTAAGCTACACAACTTTAAAAGCATATCATCCTAAAATAGCTGTTTGTCAGTTTAAAAGCTAATGGAATTGAGCATTTTGTAATCCAGGATCTTGTAACCGTAGTCCAACTTGTTAAAAAAAAAGTTACAGCAACTAGGACTATTTTTTGTAACCATCTTCAGGTAAGAGGAGTAGTGTTAAATTGAGGAATTGCAGTATCTTGTGTATTTAGGGGTATATAAATATATATGTATAGCAAACTACACTTTTCCAACTGTTTTCATGCTCAAAATACAGAACTATAGGACTGGTATGAAATGCTTGTATTTCTTTTCTTATGGAGATGTAACAAAGTATGTGTTTCAGAAAATAGCATGAGGAATTACTTCAAAATATGAGAGGGGGCATTAATATCTAGCTAGTACAGGATTCACAAAAATTAATATTTTTCTAATCAAAAATGTGCTTAAAAGCTATGTTTTAAAAACAACTTGATTATTTAATAAAGGCTACTTGGGAGAAAGAGGCAAATACTCAGTCACCTACTGTATCGCTACTGAAATACATGGAAATAAAATGGACATTCATGAAGTTGGGACAAGAAGGATATTTTGATCTCCTGAAGGTTGCTTAGATGCCATAGAAAGTAAAAGACATTCAGTTACTTTGGAGGAGTTCATTCAACAAGTCTATGAAAACCTGTACTTCTGAAGAACCTTCTTTAATCTCCTCAACATCAAGCTTTAGGATAACCTCAAGCTGTTGGAAGAGTAGGGCAAGCTACTACAATTCTCCTTTCTGCCATGCAGTGGTACTCTGTGATTGCTCCAGAGCAGGCTTTCTGATGTCATGAGGATATTAGTATTCCACTCTTCCACTGAGCCTTTTTTGTATTATCTATGCTGAAAACTTGTTGAAGTCTATTTGTGGTGTGTTGAACAGATGTTGTGGTTTTGGGTTGGTTTTGAGTACCAACCTGTTTAGTTTTTTATGGAAGTAACAGACTCTCTAACTGGGATTGGGTCTCCAATGTTGTTCTTAACCACCTTCATCTTGTAACTTTGGGTGTGCTCACTTCCATTTGCCTTTCATAGGGTGGAAGCTTTCTCTTCATGTGTATGTCCTCTTCTAGTATTCACCCCTATTTTCAATATGACCTTCAGTCCAAACCTCACAAACAGTGCTGAAGATGAGCAATATGTATTATGATGATCAGTCAAATGAGACTGTGAAATCAGTGTTCTAATTCTCAGATGTGATAGTTCTAGTATTTTTAGTAATGCTCAAAACAGTATCCATGTCTGATTCTCAAAAATCCAAGCATAGGGAGGAGGCATCTATCAGATTGATGCATGGTGCAGTAAATGAATCAAGCTCTTGGACCGGTTGTACCTTCAATGCTAAAGAGCCAAAGCAAGGGTGAAGAAAAGGTCTATAGCTGACTTGGTTTTAAAGACCCTGGTTGAGCTGTGCATAGGTGTATGCACAGTGTACCATGAAATTCTTGACCTTGCATAGTTTTGCTTAGAGACTGGAGGAGACCATTGTCTTGACTGCATAATCTGCTGCTAGTTGTGGATTATTTTTTTGGGGGGCTCATTCCGAAATAAATCAGCAGCCTGGAAAGGGCGTTGTATTTGGCCAAGAATCACTTCTGCTTCTTGGTAAGTGCCACTAGCCCTATGCTTTCATAAACTGAACTTCCCATATTAATGAGTCATGCTTTGTGGGGTTTGGGGTTTGGTGGTTGGGTTTTTTTTGAGACGTACTGGGTGGAACTAGCTGGCATTTAGTTTTCATTGAGAGAGGAAAATGGTAGTGGTTTCCAAACCTTGTTTTCCTTGGCCTTTAGTTAAGGCTGTATGATACTCGACATATTTACATCTCTTTTTATTCTTAGCCTACAACCCTTGAGCCTTTCAAAATATTTTAGTCCTAGAAAACCTCCCAAATCTTTAAGCCCTTAAGATGCTTTTGCCACTCCGCAATGACTTGGTCTCACTAATGTGATGATGCAGTCTTAAAATGTGATTCTAGGAACCGTATATCTGGGATTCTACTGAGCTAAATGAATGAAGTCCATGGCCTTTGTAAGGGCTTTGTTCTGTTCATGGACAACTGACTGATTTTAAAAAGTGCTGGGCTGGTTAATGATAATGTCTCTCATCCTGTCATGACAGACTGTGTTGTTTCACTGCTTTAGGCACTTGCATACTTGATGACGACCTGTGTGTCTGGCTGACAGGATTATCCAGTAGCAAGTACTGCATAGATAGGGGTTTGAGAGAAGGATGTGTGTGAGTGAATGGTATCTGTAGTATCAGATGGCAGAAAGAGTGGAATGCACAATGGAAGGGAAAGATGCTAAACTCAGATGACTGTGGAGAAGAACAGAAGTATGTTTGTGAAGATCTGGTCAGTTGCATCTGAAGAGCACTCCCTGCCAGATCCGGAGTTGCTTCCCCTGACTTCAACAGTATCAGTCCCATAGGGATCCACTTACAGAGCTCCAAGTCGTAGTGGTTATGGCAGCTCTTGTGCTGACAGGTTCTCCTGGCCCCCTTTACTAGTTTATATAGTTGATGAAGCTTCTAAGAAGTTCTGGAGGTGACTAGACAACTGACAGCTCATGAATTGAAGTCAGTAAAATAACTAAATGCACTCCAGTCCTTTCTAGCATGCGCATCTTATGTGCTAGTCTGACTCACTGGTAACATACTTTGCGGGTAGAATAGGTTTTACCCCACCAGT